GTGTGTGTGTGTGTGTGAGTGTGTGTGAGAGAGAGAGAGAGTGTGTGAGTATGTGTTTGAGGGGGGAGGGGGTATGTGGGTGCGTGTGTTTGTGTGCTGGCATACATTAAAAAAGAAAACCTAAAATAAATTATGCTCCCACACCCTCTCTCCCCTCAAATTATCACAAACTTAAAATTCAACAAGTTTCAGTTTACCGTATATTATTTCTCAGATTGTGGCTTTTGTCCGTCTGCAGTCTTTGTTTTATTATTCTTTCATGTTAAGTGTTGAGTGGGCCTTGGCTACCTCCGTATTACGTGTCTTGCTATCTGCTTTTTGATTGCCAGTTTTTACGTCATTTGCGGGTCTTCTGAAAAGCACATATTATTAAAACATTGTCAAAAGCATCTGTTCCGCTTTGGACTAACAGCAGTTATTTAACAAGCTAAACACGAAATGAAACCAGAGACAAATTCATACAACCTCAGGAAAAACATAATAGCTAAATGTCTGAAAACACTAGGCTGTTGATATTTAATTGCCAGGATTCTGAACCTCCGAATTCTGAAGCGATTGCGCTATCTTTTTACATTTTCCACTGTCCCTAAACAACATTTTTGTGTCTATTCATTGCTTTTCAGAGATTAGTCCAAATTCCCGAATTGCTAATTGGATGGTTACCCACTGCGTTGCGTCATTTTAGCATAATAAAGCTCTTTATCTTTATGACTTTATGCTAGCATGCTCTGTGTCCCAAGAGTCCAACTAATCATGTTTAGTTGACATAATCTTTTTTGTTCTGCTTCAATGACTGGATGAAACAGCGTGAAAGTCGACAGAAGTACAGTAAGCCGACATCCGTAGAAACAGCATCACATAATATTTATTATTATAGTCCCTAATGGATATTTTTCCCAATAGATCAAATACTGATGTTTGTGAACATGTAATTGGTATCCAGGTCCGATGCATAAGAGTAACAGCTCTTTAATCTTCACAATAACTGCAGAGTGATGTTAGAAAACTACCGATTTTTAGAGTCAGTATCTACTCATAAAGAATAGATTTTATGTTATCCAAAATATTGGTTAGAAAATAACTATAATTCAATTATGACCCCCCCTCCTCCCCCCCTCTTTCCCCCACACATTCACACTGTTCACTCAATGTTCTTCTCTTTCCACAATAATCTCGTTTCAAAATTAATTAAGAATATGCTTAAAGGCAATTAAGCGACCATTTTCTACGCATGATTTAAAATAATAATAAAGAATTAATCCTCTAAGAAAATGAAAACATCAGAATAGAACAATAATTCGTAGATAACAATTCTCTCCACTCTTTGTAATTAGCATTCCGTCCAGATAATAGGCTATAAATCATGTACTTGGCTCTGTATGAACACGCCTATTATAATGAAATAAAACAGGTGCGCAGTTTACGAAAATATGTATTTAAAACTTCCTTAGCTGTAATCAGAGAGTATATAATTATAGAGAGCGGAAACGAGGTCTTGCGGTCGTTCTCTATGATTTATAATCTCTGCTGTAATGTTGAAAACATAAAACGTGTAATATTTTCAAATGATATGTTTTATTTATGAACTGATTTTCGATACAAAATATTTTGATACAGATTTAGTCCAACAAAAGGGTTCACGTTTTAAGAAAATGTTCTTTGCAATCTTCAAGCAGAAACAGATATATTACCAACGGCTCAGCTGAATCTCAAATGTTTTAGATTAGGTCTATATCAAACTAAATATTCTAAGAAGGCGTTTTATTGGATTCTCGATCTCACCTACCCTCGAGGTGCAAACAGAAATAAAAATCCACAAAACAACAACTGAGTTAACAAATCTCATGTTTTCCAAATCATGTTCGAACTCGGATTTGATCGACATATTATTATTATGGCGCGAAACCCAAGCACTTAACCAAGGGCCTGGTTTCACATAAAATTCCCTGTCACAATCGCAGAAGTGATCAAAATACGTGCCTGAACAGTGTTCTTTTAAGGAGAAGAATCTACTACGGTATTGTGTTGCTGTCTCTCTGTAAATGTTTTCTTTTTCTACGTGTGTATTTGTAAGCTATTTTCTTTGAAAAACAGGCCAAATGGAGTAACGATAAGGTATTTATTTATTTGTTTATTTATTCGTTTGTTTATTCGTTTGTTTATTCGTATATTTCTTCGTTTATCCATTTATTTATTTTTTGAGTGGTTTTCTGGTGATAACAGACGTTATAAAATATACCAGGCTACAGTTATACTCGCATGCCTTCAGCACGCTATATCATTGGGATTTACAGTATTACTAACAACATTATTGATTAACTGCAGAAGAAATTTTGAGAGTTTTAATAAGTAAAGTTTTGACAGGTACACGAGGGGAAGAAACTATCGCCTGGTCCGTTAACATTTGATAAAAA